CAATCCTGGACAAAAATAGTGGCAAAAACAAGTTTATTACTTCAAAATATAATTTTATGACATTTTTGCCCCAATGACCCCCCCTTCCCCCAATATCAATGTTTTGCCAAGTTATCTAGCCTCGAATACACCCATCAACATTGATATTAGGGGAAGGGGGGTGAAATTCGATGAATTTTCTTATTTTGTACCCTTTTGCCAATAATTTATGTCCAGGATTGTATGAATTTGAATGCAAAAATTACGGAGTTTTCCCATAGAATGCTCTCGGTTTTAGCCCGCTTTTAATTTTTTTTACCACTCTAGTTTGTAGTTTGGCAAAATATATTATGACCTTGTTAATTTCATTACAAAGTTCAAACTTCCTTTTTAAAACTGCGCATGTGATTGGCCATTTGAATTAGGGTTGCCTAATGTATTTCCGCTAGTCTTTGGCGGGAATTTTCAAAGTACTTCTCATAGGTTTGAACATTGTTTACATTTAATATTATATACATTAAATACGATATGATGGAGAGCGGTGAAGCTAGCGCGAATTTTAGCGAAGAGTCGAATGACATACACTTTATTTCATGACTTAGTGAACATGAGAACGGACGGATATACCTCATAACTTGCGCAAGGGCAAATTTAGATAGGTTCCCGAATTGTCTGGCATTTTCCGACATTGTACTAGAGGCGTTCAATAACGGGAAAAGTAGCAAGAAAATTGTCCAGTGGGCCTGCTGCATAGAAGTTCATGCCAACGGGGCAAAATATTTTCACATGGCTGTTAAACTGGATGGAACGAGACGATGGAATCCTGTCAAGAATTTTATTTGTGTCACCAACATGTCACCAACGTGTCACCAACGTGTCACCAAATTTATTATATTAAAATTACTCTACACAAACGTGTCACCACGTGTCACCAGTACAAGTATAAGTAAAGTATATATACTTTATATAAAATTTTGGTGACACGTTGGTGACACGTTGATTTACTATATATGAAGCACAATTATCTTGGTGACATGTATGGTGACACGTTGGTGACACGTTGGTGACACGTCAAATTGAAATTGTAGGCAAAGAACTATTGTTGGAAATTATTAGTTTTAATTCTAAATTAAAATCTCCACAAGCGGAGGTCAATTATAGTGTTGTAGTTTACATATTATCATTAATCATCATGTTAATTCAAAGAGCTATTTAAATTGAATAAACACGGGAATAGAACTTAGGGTGTGTTCTGCACATGCGTATGTCTAGGATAAAATCCCACGAGTGCAAACGAAACTATTGCTGTATAAAATTGAACTGAAAGGACTCGGAGTGACGATTTTGGTAGTGCTTCGGGCGCCCGATGATATAGTACGAGGGGCCTTTATCACTGTTAACTTCTCATCTTGAGATTGTGACGCTATTGCGTGTACTTGTCAGGGTGACGAAGATGTATTATTGCTAATAATGTCTGTGTGCACATAAATGTCAAATTCATGAAAGTTGTGCAAATATATAAAGAATCACTTTATATCAGAGTCATTTCAATACTATTTTCAGTATAAGTAAAAACCCTATCGGTCAGACATCTTATACACTAAAATTAAAACATTCAAATTTGGAAATTATCTCATACAATCCTGGACAAAAATAGTGGCAAAAACAAGTTTATTACTTCAAAATATAATTTTATGACATTTTTGCCCCAATGACCCCCCCCCCTTCCCCCAATATCAATGTTTTGCCAAGTTATCTAGCCTCGAATACACCCATCAACATTGATATTAGGGGAAGGGGGGTGAAATTCGATGAATTTTCTTATTTTGTACCCTTTTGCCAATAATTTATGTCCAGGATTGTGGATATGAGGTATTCTGCAATCTGATTGGTTCTCTACTAGCAGGATTTGAGCTCATATCACAGTATAGGAAAAGTACAGTAGGGCCACTCAGCGTAAAAAAGTGTCTACATTGTTTGCTGGCTGCCAACCTAATTTACATATTGGCAGCCAGTAAACGGCAGCAGTCCACTATAAAATTGTACTACAGAATAATGATTTTGGCCGCGTAAGACACCTGGAACCTAGCTTAAATAATTGCCACTTTTCTCTCCCCTGAGTGGCCCTACTGGTTGTCTCCCTATACTGTGCTCATATCCTGCTAGTAGAGAAAAACAAAATGGCGGCCAAAC